ATATGTGTTTATGTACACACATGCACACGCATACCCTCAGAGCAAAATGTTAATAGTTGTCTTCTCTGAAGTGATGATACTATGGATGATTTTTTTTTATTTTTCTCTCTGTGCTTTTATATGTTTTCTTAAAATTTACATGTGTTTATTTTGAAAAACTGTAACTTTAAAAATGAAAAAAAAATCACAGTTTAGAAACTCAGTCAGATTTTATTATAAAATCTTGAACTATGTAGGTATTGGGTAGAGAGTGGTAGATGAAGAAATAACATCCTGTCCTGGAGCTTTAATGTGATTTCCTTAAAACCTGGTTGAATACATATATTTCAAAACATGAGATAAAGTTAACAGAATATAAAATAAATTATTTATAAAATTATAGAGTTCTAATCAACTAATGTTTGTCTGTTAAAGGACTAAAGAAAACCTCCACAGAGCTCTTAATCCTGAATTTTTAAAGATTTAATATTTAGAATATAAGCATAAAGGGCATAATGGGCTATTATTCTAATACATGCAAACATTTGTGAAAAATGTTCAACTAAAGAGAAAACAAAGTTAAAAATAAGAAGGAATAAAAAATGAAGATACCATATAAAATGTATAATATGTATGCATGCATATGTGCATATATGTATACATATGTATATATACATGTATCACATACACACTTAGACACACACATATATGAACATGTCGACATACATTCATATGTATATACTTACGAAATTATGTAAGAAATAAAACACATTGTCATCAAAATGTGAATTAAAGCCAGATTTAATATTTTTGTCTTGTTATAAATAGAAGATTGTAAATTTCAATTTCAATGTGCTTTATTTTTTTTTCTCACTTGGCTACAAATCTTGAGTTATCCCACTGGATTCTAAAAAAAAGTATCTTGATTTGTTTGGAACACCCTCAATGAATGGTTATTTTGGTTAAAAAAAATATCTTTGAAGAAAGTCTCTAATATATTAAAAGTTTCTTTTTGGGGGATCCTCCTAATCCAAGATCTCACTGATAACATTGACCACATTTGTTGGATGGAGTTTCTCATTTGTGTGACATAAAATGCAGAGTTTGTCCCCGAGTTCACTTGCCTAATCATTTCTGTTCTATCTGTGGCTGTTATCTGGCACATCGTAGCTCCTCAGTAAGGATTTCTTGAATAAATTAGTGAATGAACAAATGAACCCTACAACCCTGTGCTCAGCAGCTGTGGTTGTTAGGAAGTGGAAGACCCAGAAGAGCAGGGTGGAAGAGTAAACTCAGGGTTTTAGCAGTCTGTACAGGGTCATCTTTGCTGAATATTTTAGAACTCATGATGTCAAATAAGTATGCAGAAACAGCTAGAAGTGGATAAATATGAAGATAGATAGATGATAATCTAGCTAGTGATACTTAACTAGCTTGAATATGCCATCCACATGAATTCACTAGGATATATAGTCCATCTGGGCTGCAAATTTCATTCCATATGGCATGACATAACTGAACACTTGCCTAGAAAATCTTTGTTATCTTTGTTATAGTGCTACAGTGCAAATTGTAGTGTTGTCTCTCTTCTCCCCTCCTTTCCCCTCCCCTCTCTATTCCTTTTTCTCTCTTCTCTCTCTTTTCTTTCTTTTTCTTCCACCTCCTCTTCTCTCTCCCTCTCTCTCTCCCCCGCCCCCTGCCCACTTTTCTTCTTCTAGTATGGCCTCTTCCCCCTAAGCATTTATCAGAAATGAACAGAAAATAAGCAGCCTTTTCAGTGTATTCCTTTAACTCCCCAAACACTTATCACTGTAGCAATTTTTTTAGCTTTTTACCGAATACTTATAAATAAATGAAAGAAAGGCTATAAAATTGTTTGTCTTAAAACAATGTATCTCACAACTATTTATTGAAACAAAATTATTTTGAAACAATGTAAAAATATTTGAGCTGAATCTTAATATGGGATATAAAAGCATAGGCCTCTGAAGTATTTTTTGAACTTTTTATAACCTCAAGCTGATAACATGCATTTCAGGAGGCTTAGGAGCAATTATTCCCAGGGGCAGAAGGGTTTATTAGATGACTTCTGGGAGTCTTCTCTTTAAGTCTCTTAAAAACAAGTGTCTGAATTCAGGATTTTTATTTTACCCATTTTTAAGAAAGTGTAATTTAGTAATCCTTTCACTGTTTCATTTTTAATTCCTTTCTGTAAAAATTCAAGTGGCTGAAATAGCAAATATTAAGTTTTCTAGAGCTTAAATTCTTAATTTGCCTCTCTTAAAAAGGTACATTTTGAGAGATTTTGGACAGTGGTCTGTCTGTAACAATTGAAATGGACATGTTATTTATCCTCATGTGGTAAACATTTCCTGGAAACCAATGATTGCTACAATGAGCACATTAAATTTTATTTCACATGTAATATTATATTATGTATATGTGTGTGTATTTAAAAACTTTCAAGTTAATACTTAAAATAGTATTATGATAAATTGCAAGCAATCAAACTAAGAATTAAGTTTCTTGACAACTCAAAATAATCTTGGAAAGCTTTGTGGCAAACTAAAGAAAGTTGTTAAAATATACTAACCAAATTATGAAAATAAGACTCTACATTTCATATCTTTTATATTCCAAATAAGAATGCTTTAATTTTACTTGTTTTTATAGGAATGAGGTATTGACAACTTAAGTGTCTTTACCAATTTCAGTTGAGAAATTATTTATGTGTCTAAACACATACCTGGCATAGTTACCCTTTATTGTCCTCAAATACTTTTAGCCATATTTTTCCAGCCATTTTATGCCATCTCATACCTTTTCCAACATTGATTCTTTCTCTTTGGAAAGCCTTCAACCTCCTGCTTTTTGCCAGTGTCCCTCTGACATATGACTGAAGTTCAGTGCTTTCCAAATTAACTCACTTTGTATGGTTAGGTCAAGTCAATCACTAGCATTTATCATACTGCATTATGGTTGTCTTGCTAGTTAACTACCTCTTGTTCGTTGATGTCTCTTCAAAGTTCCAGAAGGACTGGTATTGTATCTTTTATAATCCTGTTCCCAGGGTCTGGAAAATTTAGGGCATTTCGTAATTAGTTTTTGATCAATGAATAATTGGATGAATAAATAAATGAACTAGAAAATGGTAGGGGAGAAAGGAAGACAGAGAGGGGCAGATGTTCCCTATGGTAGTGAGCTAAAGAAAACAAAAAGAAAGGGGCAGGTGTACTGGGAAGGACACCTTTTTTTAGTCAGAAGAGTGATTCTGTCCTTGGGAATATTATTCTACTTTCTTGACTGTCAATTTTCTCATATATAAAATTAATATATTACCCAGGCCCAATGAGAGTGTGTATATCAAATTAAATATCATGTGTGCATATCTGGCATATAAATGCTTAATGTTAGCTTTCCCTTCCTTTCTAGATTTTCAGATAATTTACCTTCATGAAGTCTACCCTAAGCAATAAGCCCAGGTGAATTTCCTCATATGCCTAATTCATTTATAACTAATTTGACCTATGTAATTTTCAGAGTAATTTTTCAAAATGTTGATTGTGTTTTCCCTTCAATAGATTAAAAGGTCCTCAAAGGTAACATACTTTTGTCTTTACCATGGGTAGGAGGGCCACAAGTTCTGGTTTTCTGAGGATATTCTTTGTTACATATATTGTCTGGCAAAAAGATTGATTTTTCTCCTTTTCCCCCCAAATATGCACCAGATGAATTATGAATTTTCTAATATATATTATTACTAACCATAATACTTTAGGGCTAAGTGTACTGTTTTATTAATAAATATGTATTAACAAAACTTACTTTGAATCAATTTTGCTAAGTTTAAAAATCAAAATCTTTCCATTTTTATTTATGAATGAATGAAACAGTGCATCTGTAAATTACATTTTTAAATAAACTATTTCATTGTATGGTTTGAGTAAATCACAGTATCACAACATTTTTGGTCCTATTGATTAGAAACAATGTTTAAGTCAATTACTTCAACCATATTGTGTAAGCAGCATATTCATTCAGTTCACATTTATCAAACACCTAAAATGTGTTTGATTGCAAGAATAGCTCTTTGATAATTATTTAAAATTAAGGAATGAAGAATCTCCAATAAATATTAGGACATGGATATTGTAGGGAGTTCATTTTCTTCTTCTGGTGTGTATGTACCCTTTCCTAATATGTGTTACCCTGCAACAGTATTGCAGTTAAGGAGGCCTGTCTGCATTTAAATCAATCTTCCCTTTCAGAGAGGCACATTGCTCATGAATCTTACCGTGTTTCATTACCCTGGGGTCTCAAAATTTCAAGGGCCAAAATAAGAACCCACTCAGAATATAGATTTAGGTGTTGAGAAAGTGAATGACTTTAATAGCTAGGTAACAAATCCTTTTTGCACACCAGAAGTTTTTTGGTTGTTTACTCCCCCCCCAAAAAAAAACTGGAGGGTGACTTAAGGTATCTGATAATTGATTATAAAATATATTTTTGTTTTCAGTTTATATGCAGAAGAAATTCAAAGACAAGTAACATTGCTAGTAAAAATATAACAATAATACAACCTTCTTCCTTTTCCATCTACTTATTTCTGTGAATGGAGTTTCTCAACAAATACATCTATGAAACTTAAAATTAGGACCCTGTCTCATTATAATAATATTTTTAATTGATGCATAAGCTAGTTTTAAAAACATAAAATATTTATAGAAAAAAGGTTCTGAAAAGATGTATACTTTGGAAATTTCAGTATCATTTAGAATAAAGCACTATACTTAAAATAATCATATATTAATGCTTTTTCTCCATCCTGCCTGTTTCAATATTAACCCATACCATTCTCCTCTCCTATCCACAAAAGTAATATGAAAAAGAAAGAAGTGTATTCTTATTGGCCAGTAAGCTTCAGAATCCCTAGCTAAAATAAAATAGTTTGCTGGCTGATACAGCTGTAGCAAATATATGAGACTATACTAAGAATATGAGATTTTACCCAAAATATTTGATATATCAGCTCCTCTATAACAATAAGAAATCTGGTGGATTTTCTGATTTAAGCAATGCCAGAACCAATTTACATGTAAGCATAAAATACATGGAGATTACATTTAGATAGTAAAAATCTATACAGTAAACATTTTTTTTTCCTTAAAACATGAGTTCTCAAGAAACTTCAGATTTGTATTTGAAACATTATTTCTACTCATAACTCTTTGAGGAACATGAGTTATGTGGCCTCACCAATATCAGAGGACATATGATCCTAACTTGTATCTGGAAGTATAAGAACCAAATATTTTGCATAAATCACTGATTTCCACAGCTAGTAGGTGTATGTAGTCATTTTTAAAATTTGACAATCATTTGAATGAATCCCGTGTGGACTAAGGAATCAGAAGGGAAAAATAGAATAAATTTTTAAAATTTATTTGAAAAAATAGAATAATCTGGCTGCTTAAGTAATTATGAAAAAAGAAAACATAATTTTCTAAGTTTACCTGCAATGAAAATTAGAGTATAGTTAAGGAGATTAACAGTTTTAATATACCATAGATGATTTGTGCAAGGGAAAAACATTGTAAAAAAATAATCATTTGCTCTAAAAACAAAAGGATGGGGGCCTGTCAAAGGGACACAAAAGCCAATCTGAAATGAAGGCACTCCCAGTAGCCAAAGTTGTGATAATTTGGACAACAAAATAAACTATGTAATATTGAATTATACCCCAAAGTATAAAATATACATGAATATAATACTTATTTAAATAAATAATTGAAGAAATCCATTTACTATATCTACATATTCTCTCCTTTGGGTGGCAGAGTTTAATTTCGCCCACCCTTATTAACCCTGTTGAGAGTGTACTAGACTTAGTGACTAACTTCCAAATAATCGAGTATGGAAGGGGAAAAATAGTAACTTTTAGTAGAGAAATGTGACCAACTCTTCCATAGCCGAATGAAGAAGGTTGAAATCATTATTAAATAGCAATGTTAGGGGGGCAGGGGCAATATGTGTAACTTTAACATTTGTACCCCCACAATATGCTGGAAAAAAATAAATAAAAAAATAGTAATGTTATGTGGATGTTGTGTACCACCAATATGATGTCATGAGGACACTGCATCCCTGTGGTATTCTTCCCCAAAACCCATAGCCCTAGCCTAATCATGAGGAAAACATCAGACAAGCATGATTGATACCACAAGATCACGGGATATCCATTCTCCAGGATACTTGGCCAGTGCTTCTTAAGATCATTAAGGTCAAGAAAAACAAGGAAAAGTTTAGAAACTGTCACAGACCAGAGGAAACTGGAGAGACATGACAACTAAATAAATGTGGTATCCTGGATTGGAACCTAGAACAGAAAGAGGACATTAATGGAAAAACTAGTGACATCCAAGTAAAGTCTAGAGTTTAGTTAATAATAATGTACCAACATTAGTTTCTTAGTTTTGAAAAGTGTAACATATAAGATGTTAGCAATTGGAAAGTGAGTGAGGAGCATATGGGAACTCTCTCTACTATCCTTGCAAATTTTCTATAAATTTACAATTATTCTAAGTTTAAAATTTTATTAAAAATTACCTTGTGATTTATTTATTTTAGCAGTTTGATAATTAAATAATTACCTACACACATAAGTTTTCAGAATGTAGAAATACCTCTAAGGAGTTGAGAATCACTTTTTCTGCCTCCTTCCCATTTGTATTATAAATTTCATTCATAATTGGAGAATCAAAAGCACAAGTGAATAATAATTTAAGTTTCAAGAGCCTATCACTATACTTTATAGCCTGCAGGTTCAAAGCAAGTGGTTCCTGGTTCTTGAGAATGTATAACTATGCCATTTTAAATACATTCACAAACATACCGCTTTGGACTCATTCTGTTTTCTATCCTTGCGAAGTCTCCACCTTTGAACCATGTGTAAATGGAACATTTATTTTTATCTCTAAAAGTTGTCAAGTCATCTGAATATGATTTTTTATACAGATTGAATAATTTGTTAAAGACATAAGAATTATTTTTCAACACAACCTACATGTTTGTAATCAACATTTTTGGATCTTGAGTCAAAAATCCTTGTATATAAAAGATATTTTATTAATTATTTTGTATATATAAAATAGGTTGTGATTATTTAAAACTAATGTGTGGTACTTTTAAAGGCATTGGTTGTCAGACATAGTGATTTTTGAGTTAAGACAGGGGAAATGAAAGAATAAGTTTCCTTAGGAGTTCAGAAATGTGGAAAATATTTGGTGCATTTTATTCAGTAATAGTGTTAGTATTATAGAGCCTTTCTGAATGGTATGCATTGCTTCTCAATGTCCTAGTCAGCTGTAATATACTTTGATCTATAAATTATTTTTACAAGCTATCTACTTTAAAAAAGGCTTTGTAAAAAATAAATCTCATTGAAAAGACTGGGAGTGACTAAGAGATTTAGAGACATGCAGAAATAAGAGTGATAAAACAACAATTTGTTACTAAATAGAGATTTAAACAGTATGTGAAACATGCTTCAAGTTAGTCAGAAGAGGTCCTCTGAATTACACTGTGCATGCTTCCCTGAAATGAAACTGTATGTTATTGGTTAACCAGGATATTTAGCATAATCACTCTGCTAGACTGTGGTGGAGGGAGGTGATTATCACTGAGAACAGATGGGCAGGTCCACAGCACTGCCAGATTCTGCACAAGCTCCATTTAACGTTGGTTCTTGCTTTTTTCCTTCTGTGTTTTTAATTTTTTTTTTTATGCATTGTGTGTTCTAAAGAACTAGCTGCACAAAAAGTCAGTGGCTGATGACCTTTCAGCTTAGCTTTCCAATGTAGAAGAAAGATTGAAAATGCTATCAGTGTGTATCTAAGAAGGATGGGGCAGATTTCATTTTACCCTCTAGTCTCCCTCAATGCATGCACGGATTTATCTGTACGCTAAGCTCTCTGCTCTGCATCTGTAGCTCCTTGCGGATTATATTGTCTCTGTGATCAGAAATGATTTTCTCGGATATGAACACCGTTTCTGGCTCCCCTAAAGTGCATCCTCCTAATGGGACCCGGTTTTACACTTTTCAAGTAAGTGTGCTTTAAATGGCTTCACTACTTAGGGAGTTAATATATAGTCAAACTTTTAATAAAGGGTAATATAAAGAAAGGAAACCTGAAAAGTGTGAAAGTATTGAAGAGAATGTATGGAATTGGATAATGTGCATGTCAGTTTAATCTGCTTTAAAATATGGAAATAGAATAGCATTAGGATTCTCTGTGAATTCAAGCAAAATAAATAATAGTGAACACAATTTTCCACAGGAATTTTTAAATCTGCTATAGTATCATCCTTGAGGGTTTATAAGATGTGTTATCTTCTGATATTATTTGTGGCTATAATGTGGTGAATATTATAGAGTTACTTCCCTTATACATCACAGAGAGAGCAGAATTAAAAGACATTTTATGAAACTTTGCAAACTAAGTCCTCTGAGCTTAGAAAAATGTTTTGTATTTCATATACATAGCTTAACATAATCCCTATTATTTAATTTTCTTATGTGTGTAAGATATAAGCAATAATACAGGAGGCTTAAGTATCATGTTTACTATGCTTTCCAATTTGAGATAGAGTAGAAACTCATTAAGATGGAAGATTTTCTGTGTTATCAAAAAGTCAAAATGATTTATAATATAAATATAAATGTGAGTTATAAAGCTGTTACCTACTAAATGTATTTCAATTGCCTGTGAATAAATCAGTCATCAATCTAGAAAATGGTTAAGTCTGAACTAAATCATGTTCTACTTCATTTTTATCCTCAAATTGTACCTTTCAGTGCTAAGGTTTACTTTGTCATTCAGTCATATCCTCATTTCATGAAAAAGTAAAATAAACCTCTTCTCTCTGTATATTTTACATTATGGAAATATAAACAGTCTGACATTTAATTATTTTAGCTATATATAGTATATTAGAAAAAATAAAAATAAAGACCTGGAGATTAATATAGCAAAGGTAGTTAGAATTTTTTTAAAAGTGGCTCTGAATAACTGCATGTTTGATTTATAAAAGTCTCTTGCCTTTGCAAACTGTAGGCAGTAGATATAATTACTCTTTCTCTCTCCCCTATCTATACTTCTATTTTTAATCCTGTCGCCTCTCCTGTTTTACACTGATTTCTACTGATAGTGCAAGTCTGTGTTGTTACAGAATATAGTCTCTTCCCAGTGGTGATCTGCTTATTGTGGCAGTGATTCAAAATGCAAGTACCCTGGGGCTGTTCTACAGAATTATTACTTTTTTTTTTCTTTGTACACTGAGATATAAACAACTTTTACAATATCCTGTAGCTGGCTCTTTGGGGTAGCTTTTGACATTAGGTATTCTACATCAGTCTCTTTAAAGTTTAAGGGTCAGTAAATTCCATATGCTCGGTCATGACACAGGCTTTTTACAATTCTTTCAATAGAGATCTTACTGACACCTTTCTTGGCAGGTGACTTTCTTTGAAAGCACACTGGAATAATTTTTAACCACTCCTTTTTTTGTTGGTGTAATAACATATTTGTATAAATACCCTAGGATTTTGAATAAAATGTAAATGTTACCAAATATAAGCTCTATTCTCCTACATTGTCAATTTTATAAAATGATATTTGACCCTGAGGCTTATAACAGGCCATATGTGTTTAAGTTTGGATGTTTATCTCTTTATTGTTGTTGCTGTTGTTTTTGATTTTAGTAGAGAAAAGGAAAGAGAGAAATGCAGTTTTTAAAGCATGAAGACAAAGGTTTATATTAGTTGACTTTATGCTTTTATTTTCAAAGGAAAGAATAAATGATTATTATTTTTCCTTATATACATTAACCTATCTTAAGGCAGTATATTTTCTTTGGCTGAAATACCGTAAAAAGAAATGAGATGCTGTAAAAGTAACAGACCATTTGTCAAAAAAATGTATCTTGTTTGTGAAAATGATTAGCTAAATTTTCAAAAATGGTTCTCATTATGGAATGGCATAATATACTTCTGAAATGATTCTGCATTAAAGAGTTGAGATTTTAATGTGTATTTTCTTAAAATTATTCTAGTATAGGAGTTAACATATGGAAAAACATTTAAGATAGCTTAACATGAATAATACTGAGTTTTAGTTCCATTTTGTCATTAACCATCTAAACTGTCCTGCCATTTTTTCTGACACTGTATGTTATCAAATTTTAAGAGTAAGATTTAGAATGTATTTGACCCGAGTAGTTCAAAGGTGAAAAAGGAACAAATGAGAAGCCGGAGGGCTTCTAGAGACTTTCTTTTTCATTGCATTTTAATTTCAAATACATTCATACTTTTACACACACACACACACACTCACTTTTTAAAATAGCATATCTAACATTTAATTTAAATTAATTCCCTTATGTGTGAATTCTCACTTCTGTGTTACTATGAATAGACTTATGCTTTCATTTTTCTATTCAGAGGTGCCTGGACCCTTGATGATGCCAATGCCCAATTTGCACTGTATCTTTAATAAGTTACTTATCATCAAAAATCAAGTTCTAAAATATAATTGCCTAGAATGCCCTTTAACAAAAATTAAGATTAAATGCTATTAGAGGAAAAGCACAATTGCAATATTTAAGTGCATTATAATTGCCAATTTATGGGGCTCAAATATGTACAAAGGAACAATCTACTTTAAAATGAAATTAAACATACATATATGTTTCCATATATTTGAATTTGGTGAATGCTGCTTAGTTCCATGTCCATTAAAAATGGTGTCTCAACATGATTCCACATTTGTATTGCATAGTTCCATTTTTGCAAATAAACCATCTATCTGCTCACTAAACCTTCATATTGGCTAATCATGATTTGATGTGTTTGTCCTCCCAGAGGTATTGGTGACCAGCATGGCTTCCCTCATTTCCTAGAAATTAAATATTAATACTTTCATTCAGTGGTTTTCAAACTGAGTCTACACAGCCCCAAGCTTTTATGGGAGTTTGTCATTAGTTGCTACAGACAGTAGGCAAGAGAAACATTCCTTTGAAGCTCTTAATGTTTCCTTGATCTACATTTACTTTTTTGTATTCATTGAAGCTCTATGCAAGCTTTCATGAACAACAGAGTGCTGCTATCAAATGCAAAGCAAAACAAAGTTTGCGAACAATATTTTTCAAACCAAGGAATTAATTTCTTATAGGAGAAGTTTTATCTATTGAGCATACAGAGGAATGATTTCTGTTTAAAATATATTTCTTTGCCATGTAATCCTAGAATGAATAGCATTATCTGTCAGGCCTGTGTATAAAGTGACTAACTCTTGCCTCCTAATACTCACCGAAAACAAGAGAAAGACACTTTACCATAAAGTATTGAAACATAATAATCTGCCATTTTCATGCTTAAAATACTTCATGTATCTCTTCTCCTTAAAGGATAAATGGTATCTCCCCAGCTTGTCATAAAAAAGCCCTTTGTGATCTGGGACATATGCAAAATACTGCTGCACTTGCTTTCCCAGAAAGTTGTTTGAGTGCTGCTATGTGATTATCCTTGCCTTTTCACTGAACCTGCCCTTTAGATTTTTTCCCTTAAAGACTCACCTCAAATGCTACCTTCTCCTTGAAGCTTTCATTCATTCCTGCATGCCATATTAAGTGCCTTTCCTTTGATCCCCTTTGCCTGTTCCTACCAGTGTTGAAGCAATTTGTATGCTTTGTTATAATTCCCGAGAACATTTTATTAAGCTGTGTCCCTAACATATGGATCCCACCAATATCTCTGTTTAATAAGCTGGGGGTGTATATTTAAAAGGTAAACAATTGAAACATGAAATTTTAACACAATAGGCACTAAATAATTTTTCTTTTAACTCTCTAGGCAGTTAGTAAGATATAACTATATATTAATAGGGACAATATCTTAAGGTATATAAAGGTAAGTTTGTTTAATACTAGGTCTATGTGTACCATACTAAGTTAGGTTCTTCAAAATATGTAACAGTTTATGGGTGATCAATAAAATGCTTTAATTTTATTATTTTTAATATACTCCTATAGAAGTAGCCAAAACATATTTTGAGGATTTTTTAATTTATATCTCTTTACTATTCTTTATTAAAGATAATTTTTTTATTTTATCAAGTGAACTTTAAAATGTGATGGATATATTTTCACATGTGGCAGATAGGATTAGCACTTGAAATATGTAGAATAGTTATAGATAAACTGGAAATCTCAATTGCATGAAGAATTTCACTTACAATTAGTATGGAGCACACCTTATCTTTGTAATCAAATGAAGTTGAGGTAATTTTGGCTTTTCAGCAAAGAACTGGATTTTCCATATTCTATCATTTTGGTGCTACCTAGGAGTTCACCATTATTTTTCTATTATTTGGAGCACATTATAACTTCTTATTGTTGATAAATTTAAAATGAATCCAGATATATTTATCAGAATGCTTGGTACATATCGTATGTTCAAAAAAAAAAATAATGAAAGCAAAGTAGCCCTATACAAATCAAAAGCAAGCTAGACTTCTTGGCTTCAGGATTACTTAGTAATATAGTCAGAGGCCCCAGGCTAAGTCTGAGAATCAGGGTTTTTCTCGATCACCCAAATGTGTGTGTTTATGATTATGAAGGCCAGAGATAACACAAGAGCTGTTTAATACAACTGGAGTATAACCTGGAGATAGGAAATGGCTAAAAGTAAAGTGCACCAACTCCAAAATATAAAGATAGATTTGACTGTTGTCCTCAGGATCTTGGATGCGGAATTTGAGCATTTTCACTGAGGAACGGCAGGCTTGGATTTGCTTTTTAGTTAGAACACTGAATGTTGCTTTGGCTGGGAATTGGACTGGAGCAGAGAGAACATTTCAGTAGCTTTCAAAAAACAACCCAGATGAGTCGTCATGATTCCCTACTTTACAGATGAAAAAGCAGATGTTCACAAAAGATACCCAAATAACCTTTAATAATGCAGACAGTAAGTAATGTAGTTTCTGTTCAAATCCAGAAATACAAAAGTCCATGCTATTTCTCCTATATTCTGCTGCCTAAAGTGTAG